CAGCCTCGTCCCACTTCATTGTAGCAGTTTGATGGGACGTTATTATTGTGGCTGGATGTGGAAAGAAAGAGAGTTGTCGGTAGTGGGAAGGAGGCCCAGCTCTGGCTCACAGGAGCCTGCTATGGCAGCTCGGTCAGTCCTATCAGAGCCGTCTGACTGAGGGTGATGAGGAGAATTTGCCACATGAACCATGACCCAATTAATCATGGGTGTGAATACAGGAAATAGGAGGGGGCACTTGATTGCTTTGTGTAAACATCCAGACACACTCAACTAGACACATTCATCATAAGATAAGAATGCGATGCTGATAGTAACGTGTTTTCAAACGCAACGCCTGATGCTGAATAGCAACCTTTAACTGGACAACTATGTGAAACGTGCAGAAATTGAAATCAGAGGCACTGATTCCTGAAGGGAGATATGCCGTACCATCTTGATTTAATGGTACAGATGTGGGCTGTCAGTTTGTACATCCTTTCAGTAAATAAATATTGTTTGCACCTTCAGTGTTTGTGGACAAGTGAAACACATGGTGCTCACTGACAAAAAGTATTGCTCGTCTTGGAAGATTTTTTTATTATTCCTCTTGTTATATAGACATAATATACACACAAAAGCTATAATTGTGCTTTATTTAAAACAGTAACCAGGCTACTGCAGTTTCCCCCAGTTTTAGAATCCCCTGTAGGGCTGCAACGAAATGAAAGGACTAGTGAAACGGGTGAGGAGTGGTGGTGCTGGCAATGGTAAAAAAGCGTCCCTGGTATGATGTTTGGTGTTGGGGGATAGTGTTACATGCCAGCAGCCCGCTGGCTTCTCCTCCTTCTGTACGCTGCTAGCATGGAGGAATGTGCCGCCTGAGAACCACAGGGAGGAAGAGGGTACTGACAGCGAGCAGTAAACACAGGCAGCCTATCTGTTGTGTTTGTTTGTATGTTACTGTGCTAGGAGGCCAGGCCTTGGCAGCCTCAAAGCTGCGCCTAAACAACATCTGTTCTGTGAGTTTGGAGCCCTATACAGCCATGTCAGGACACATCATGACTTACAATTGTGGCCTCTAAATCAATATTTTCCTCCATCTCATACCGGATTGTTCCACTGGCAAAAGTTCAAGAATGGACAAGCGCTCATTGAGAGGAGGGAAAAAATGTTGGAGTGGATAGACGGGAGGGACCCATCGCATTTTTCCAATTCACCACAATCAGAAACAGATTTTCAACAATTAGCCTGAACTAACTTGCAAGTTTATTGACTAAAAACACAGTGACAGCGCCCTTCAGACAACCAAAGGAGAACAATTACTAGAGTGTGTTTGACTGTCAGCGTGAAGTGTCTTTATATGCCACAATATCATCACATTCATTTACACTGTATTATCGAGAATCCTTGATCACTTTTTTCTTTGTTGATTTTTTAACTGTTATGATGCAAATATTTTAATTTCAATCTGCTCTGCTGTCAGCATTTATTTTAAGGTTGAACTGCTTCTTTTGTGAGTATGTTGAGCTGCATTTTTTGTCGGAAAAGTGCATGCAGAGTGGAGTATTATTCAAATTAGGAACGAATCAAGATCATAATTTGCTTGCTCTCCTTTCCAGCTTTGAGTATATTTATATTCTGACAATTTTGTCATGAATATGTAGTATTTGAAAATAAATGCACTTGTTTTCTCGGAAACCTCCCTATTGAAGCTACCTCATATCTGTAAACTACAAGCCCAGAACGACCAGCCTTTGAATTGATTGTAAGCTGCGGGGCCTCTCATATTAATCTTTTTCAGTGTGTAATAAGTGAATTAGTGGGATGTAGAAGATGATGTATGACGAAGGCTGGCACGTTTAAAACCTGCTGTAAATCCACATGCCACTGACTCTTAATAATGTGGCCAGAGACCTACTGGCATCATTCTTCACCGTAGCCATTGACAACCTGAGACTAATAAATCTCCCTGAGTAAGACAACGCTCTTAGTTTGCTGTTCAGTCATTTGTTCCAAAATATCTACATGAAATGTAAAACGCCCCAGTTCATTTTAAAAAACTTTTGAACACTGTCAGCTACATTGTATACTGAGCAAGATAAATAATAAAATTGAAATAAATAAAGATTTTCCTGTTGAAAGTGCAGCAGCGTGTGAATGCTCCATGTGTTGCCATTTTTCAAAATGCTGTGTCATTTGCATAAGCTTAGACACATTTCCGCAAATTTGGCAATGTTTTCTACACTGTCCCAACAGTTTGTATAATCGTTCTTCTTAAAAAAAAGTTGATTAAGTTAATTCAGTGGCAGCATAACATTATCATTAGCTAAACTGTGACTTTTGGCACACCCCTTTTTCATATTTGGAAAAATCCCAACCATTGAAATGTGCTCATTTAATTAGTTTTTCATCACCGAAAATATGTTGTCTTATTCAATGCAAGAGGAATTTCTTAAGACTTTTTTTTTTTTTATATCTGAGTGAGACCTCCTGCTGCAGCCCAGAGTGCCATAAATTACATCCAGGAAATTATAAAGTAATTAGAGTTTCTGTAACAGCTTCTACACATCCAAGTGTAGCTGAGTTACTGGCTCGTGTGTGTGTGTGTGTGTGCTGCGTCCTTTAACTTTTCCCATACGTCAGATGCCTTCCCAACCTCCAGCCTCTAACCCCCACCACAACAGCTGGCGTCTCAGCGAGGGCCCTGACGTTACACTACCACCCCAGCCTTTCAATGCGGCTCGAGTATTGTGGTGTCAGGGGCCCCTAATGGCCCTCACAGAAAAATGCACACAGTAGACCCAAATAGAAGCACATGACACGGCCCTCTAAACAATGATGGATAAAACTTTGAAAACATGGGAACAGTACATGAACATGTATGATTTCTTTTTCATATGTAGGCTGTTAGTTACATGTTAAAATTATATATAGACCAAAGATGTGAGTGGTCATAAAACGGAGGTATTTAATGATAAAAAACAAGTTAATTGTGACTGAATTTTGTGATTTTAAAAGGCACAGCCACAGTATCAATAGCAAAAAATAGCTTTCATACATAGACTCTTTTTGCCTTTAAAAAACTCACTGTTGGTATAATCCGCATCACTTTCCTTTGACAGAATACAGCAAACAACTGGCTTCTATTTGTCCCAAAATAAGGTTAAAAAGCACGTCCCTCCTGGCCATGTCAAAGTCTGAAGCGATTAAAAATGACAGGATGCTGCTGGCTGTTCCAACTTCTTGATGTAAAACAAGTGTTCGATATTGGTTTGCTCCGTGGTCTAAATTAAAACCAAGACGCTTCTCGTGTAACATCAAAAATCAAAGGCCACCTTTGGTTGTTTTATTTAAAACATCAGGTTCTCATTCGGTCTTGTTTAAAAAAAAAGAAATTCTTACTGGCTGTTAAGTACATTTCATTTACACCCACTTGTTCTAATAAAGGCGTGTGGTTCCTCGGTTGAGCTGCTGTATTGTAATAGGCCCTAATAAAGCCTAACAGATACTCTGATGTGATAATAGGTTATAGGCGTAGATTCCAGGGTGGCTGAAGACTTTTATTTTGACAAAATTAAAGATATTCCCATCATACAATTGTGCATACGACAAACATTGGTGCTTAAAATCACCAGTATGCAGAAAATTAAGTGTTTGATGCTCAAATGTTTCAGCTGGAGGACCCCCGAATCCCCGTTTCATATGTCGCCCCTAAATTTGAAAGGAAATCTACACCCTTGTAATAGGTCACATATTTTCACTTGTTCTTATAAAGGCTTGTGGCTCCTGGGTTGAGCTGCTGTAATTGTAAATGGCCCAAATAAGGCCGAACTGATACTCTGATGTGAAAATAGGTTATAGGTGTAGATTTTGGGGTAGCTGAAGACTTTTATTTTGACACAATTAAAGATATTTCCACCTTAAAGTGATGCAAAGAACACAAATTGGTGCAGTAAATCACCAGTATGCAGAAATGTAAGTGTTTGATGCTCAAAATTTTCTGCTAGAGGACCCCCAAATCCACATTTCATATGTGTCCGCCCTAAATTTGAAAGGAAATCTATACCAATTTAATGGGTCACATATTTTTACTTGTTCTAATAAAGGCTTGTGGCTCCTGGATTGAGAGAACTTTTATTTTGACAGAATTAAAACTATTTCCACCATTATATGATGCATGGGACACAAATTGGTGCATAAAATCAGAAATTCGGGAGAAATTTAGGTGTTTGTTGCGCAATATTTTCTGTTAGAGGACCCCCAAACCCCCATTTCATATGTCGCCCCTAAATTTGAAAGGAAATCTACACCCTTGTAATAGGTCACATATTTTCACCGTTTTAATAAAGGCTTGTGGCTGCTGTAATTGGAAGTGGCCCAAATGAGGCCTAACCGATACTCTGATGTGATAAAAGGTTATAGGCGTAGATTTTGGGGCAGCAGAGGACTTTTATTTTGACAAAATTAAAGATATTTCCACTGTAAAATGATGTAAGAGACACAAATTGGTGCATAATATCCGAAATCCAGCAGAAATGTAGGTATTTGTTGCTCAGTTTTTTCTGCTAGAGGACCCCCGGACCCCCATTTCATATGTGTGTCCCCTAAATTTGAACTCTACACTCTCTAGAGTTGTAATAGGTCACATATTTTCTCTTCACAGTCAAACCAAATGTATTTTTAAAAAAACTTCCTGCTTGTCAGTGGAAATAAATGCGATCGAATTCTATGTCACAGGAGCTATGGTGTTACTCTTTTGTTCCCACATAGATTTCTCTTATTCTTCTTAGTCTCTGCTCTCAGTTTTAGTGAGTGAAATTACAGCTTCGCGTTGACTGTAAAACATGCTGAATAACTGAATTTGTCATTCACGTCAAGTAAAGAGTCTTCAGTGACCTGTGGTGAACTTGAGCACTGTCTTTTCCCCCCTGTCTGTCAGACTCTGTAGGACCCAGCGGAAAACTGCTCCAGCCGAAGGGAGACGGAGCGAAGAGAGAGGGAGAAAGCTGAGTGGAGAGAAGACGCTCTCAGATCAGTCAGTGGCTTCATGGAGTTATGTACCTCTGATCCGCCGCCATGGATTGCAATCCGCGATCACTCCTTTTCATTTTACCTCTTTTGTTGTCCTGCGTTGCTCCTGCGTTTCCCATCATCTACCCCCCTAATGAAGGTAAGTCAACTCTCAGTCTGCGGACGTGTGTTTATGCTTGTGTGTGTGTGTGTGCGCGTGTGGGCGAATGGTGCGCTATACGGCACGCATAACGGGCATGGGGCTGTGCGCACACCGCGGACTTGCTACTGTCCAAATTATGCTGATAACAATAACAAGATGATCTAAAGCGCGTGGAGGTGACACGGAGGATCACATGGAGCCGGGATGTGAAAATTTACAGACAGTAATCAGGCAAGAAACTTGAAAGTAGACCCAAACAAGGCAGACAGCGTAGCCTAATTTCGGATAATCTCGCGAACTGGGGGTTAATAGTTGTTTAAATGGGGATGGATGGAGTAAGCGATGGCGAGGCAGCTCCCAAAGCGCCCATCGCGGAGTTATCACGGGGCGAAGAGATGTGAGGAAACTCCGGTGCCTGGGTTTCCATGAGAGATTCAGGTTGATCTGTTTTATCCAAGAATCCATTTGGGGTGGACGCCCCAGTTAGGCTTACAGTCACGCCGATTTAAAGGCAGTAAATAGAAGATGAGCACGATCGCATTGTGCGTAAAAACGCGGATGTCTGGTTTTATGGCTCTGACCTGGATAAATCCAAAATAGTTGACTTGTAGGCTGGTATGGGGATCCTGTAAACCGACCATCTTATGGATGCGTAATTTCACTTATTTCCATTGCAAGTTTGGGTCACTTCTTTAGCGACTGTGAGCATGTGGCAATATTGTGAAACCCAGCTGGATTAGACAGACCGGTCCACTTCCAGCAGTCGCTTCTTCAAAGCAGCGAGCAGTGGAAACGCGTCAATCAGCCTCCTCCTTTACATGCACATTTGCTTAACTTTTTTTTTTAAACATCACCCCTTTCACGCCTTGTACATGTCATGGTTAAAGTGTTTGGTAGCGGGTTCAAAGTAAAACGGAAAGGCACACGCGTGCTGAAGGTGCTCTGACTTCTGTAAAGGTTAAAACTGCCCACAGGGAGGAAGAAAATACATTTGGGTGAAGATTTGGGTCAAACTGTCTAAAGGGACTGAACTCACATTTACAGTTACTCCCTGTAAGAAATAAAACCAAAAATAAAATTCTCACTGCACATATAGCTATAGCATATAGCTGAAATTGTGCTCCACGTGAATTAGATATATATCACTATTGATTGATTTAAACCTTAATACCACTAAAGTGATTAAATAAATCTGAATGAGCCTTTAGTGCAGGCGTAATCTACTCAACAGTAATTAAATGTTCAGACACAGAAGTGAAGGCGCAGAATCATGTCTCTGGTGCTTCTGCCGCCCGTGTGGAGATCTGTAAGACATTTATTAACTCATCCTGGTGTTGTGGGGTGAGTTTGGAAAGTTTGGGTCTATAGGTCAAAGGTGCACTGCTTATCTAATAGAAACATCCTAAAGAGAAAGTTGCCCAGGATGTACACATAACCCAAATAAACAAAGATGGTGTTTCCGTTGAGTTGATTTAGCCTCTAGTTCACACTGATGAGGAGTCATTCTGAAATAAACCGATATCAGACCTCGAGTTTGTTCAATTTTCATTCATGATTTGCTCCTAAACTTATTGGTTTCTGTGTCTTTTTACACTTTAAACCAGACTTCGTCTCCAAATGTTATTTTTTGCATGTCTTTAATATATTTATCTAATATCTAAAAGTACTTCGTTTACAGTTTGTCGTCTTGTGCGCCCCGTTATGTGCCAGGCAAAGATCGCAGTCCAGTCTCTAATAGTTTCAAGAGCACAATAGGTTTCACTTATAATCCCTGACATGGGCGCATGAACTGGGAATCTGGAGGAAATAGAAAGTGCAGTTCTGTAACAGTGAGTGTGTCAAGGTCGAGCAGGCCTGCTGCAAATCTGCTCAGTGAATCTGCGAATTGAAGCTTCAGCCTAATTTGAACAGTTATTATATAAGAGTCAAGATTTAAGTAGTTTAATGAGGTATAAAGCTGATGGATATTTAGTGGCAGCGACCTCAGCGGCGAAAAAAGAAACAGAACCACATAAAATACACATCTCCTCTAAGAAAAATATACAGTAGTCTGCTGTGAAGAGTGTGTGTGTGTGCGTGTGAGAGAGAGAAAGAGAGAGCTGTTTAAAGCGTTGGAGTGTTGGGTGGAGAAAGTGAACAAAAAGAAAAAAGAAAGAGAAATGCTTTCACAAGTTAGTTGGAGCAGAAAAAAGTGCGATGTTTCAGTCTGCAAAAAACAAATCGGCCAATTAAATTAATCTCTTCAAGACATAAATCTGCCAGAGAGTGTCAGTATCGAGCCGCTGCGTCTCCATATTGTATAGAAATTCATATAGACTGCTATACCGCAAATATGACCCGACACCGGAGCAGGACAAAACACACTTTGGATCAGTAGCTCCTCTCGACATGTTTCACAGTGTTGCTGCAAATGGACCGTCCTGCTGTGTGAATCGTATTATGCTTTAGTTTACAGCCTCAATCACAGGTCATATTATAAAAAGGCGTCTAATACAGGGTGGCAGTGACGCGTCTGAGCAGATGAAACCACCGTGAAGTTACAAACGCACTGACCTGACGCGTTTCTCCTCATGAAAAAAAAGACACTGTAACTCCCACTATCCAACAGTGTCACCACTTCACTTTCTGGTTGGTAAAAGTCACCAAAATGCGCCTGGAAGTATCCTCTTTTTAATCATACCCATGTTTATAATTGCGCACAATGACAAACCTGACAAGCCACACAACTTTGGTCAGTGAAGAATGAAGTTACACTGGCCTTTATTTTCTGTGCCGACAGCCTGCTGCTGATTAAAGCCTGCAAACGCGCTCCAGATTATGAACGAGCACTCAGAGTAAACAAAGGATGCCTGTTTGTAAACTTGGAAATCGATAGTCATAAAAAAAAAGATCTGCTGTAAATCCGCGGTTCTATAGCATATATTAAAGCTCCATCAGTAAATAAGGAAATTAATTTAAGGCCTCGTTTCTCCAACTTGTAAACTATATGGGACTTTTCATATGCTTGATAAAATAAATTAATTAACGGCGCAGTAATTAAAGAAACATGTTTGAATGGGGAAACAAACGTCAACTTTAAAGGGGATGATGGAAAACTTGTGTTATTATTTTATTTATTCTAGGGAGAGCAGAGGTCCAGTACGGTTTCTTGTAATCTTCTTTCCCATCTCGGCACCATGCCTCCACTAACTTTTTTTTTTTTTTTTTTTTGTAGGAGAACAGCGTTTACTGTGTGGCTTTCATTAGCTCGTAATGATCTTGTATAAAACTTTGGGGGGAAAGTTGAAGGAAACAGGAGGAAATCCCCGAGAATATCATTTGGTTGCGCGGATTCGGCTGAACCCTGGGCGGATATGAGATATAGGATATTGTCTGAATATATTTTGTCCACATTGAATCGAAAAAATAAATAAATAAAGTTTCTAGTTCCCTTTTTATGCTGGGGTGCAGCGTGTCCCTCCGCGTGGCTGCGTGGTGTGATGCTGGCCCGCTGCGGGGCGCCGGGAGGCCTCTGGTATTTTTAGCCGGTGGTAGGGAGGCTTGGCCCGGAGAGCCCGGCTCAGCAGTCCCGCTGGGACGGATGGGCGTTTGTGAGCGATGGTACCTTTCAGAGGTGCTGGAAATGTGCTTACACATGCCCCTCCTTTAAAAATAAACCCCCTTTCTCTACAGATACTACAGGCCTATATTTATATGTGTTGGTCAAACAGTGAGCTGAAGATGGAGAGTGCCATCTTCAATTTAACAGCATGTGTTTTAGGCTTCAGAGTGAGATAAAAACACAAGGTTTGTGTGTGTGTGTGTGTGTGTGTGTGTCTGTGTGTGAGTGCGTGTAGATTTATGTGAGGAGATATAAGATTATACAGTATGTGAGCAAGGGTGGTGTATGCTTTTATGTGAGAGTTCATGTGTGGATGTAAGGCAGATAAGTATAAGGGTGGAGGTATAAGAATAGAAGATGAGAAGAAAGAAAGAAAGAAAGAAAGAAAGAAAGAAAGGGGAATGGGGGCAGAGGGGTTGGGCAAGCAGCAGCAACATCAGACAGAGCGACTCTGCACTTGAATAATTCATAATGGGAGGTGAACACTTCACCCTTTAACACAGACACAAGTCGCCTTGCTTTGCCTGCACTGCGGCCTGCCAACCTTCACATGCACAGAGCCAGGCTGCAAAGACAAAGCCCTCTCCACTTTGTTTCACAGCGAGATGGGAGATATTACACGAACATGTGCATGCAACTTTTTTTTTTTCTTCCCTGTTCTGTTCTCTTCAGAGCCCAGATGGAGGGGTCTCTGCTTTACTGATGGAGCCATGTGTTGATTCTGGAGCAGCGTCTCTGACTGACAGCTCCTTCGTCCAACATTTTAATTGCGCCCGTGGCTGAGGATTACATTTCCACATGCATCTGCTGTGAATCGGCTTTCATATGATCGTATTTTACTGGGAGTGAGGGGGCTATTGAATTCAAGTTTGTGCCAGACAGAAATGGTTAACTTAGCTGTTAAATTATGAGAACATAGACATCAAAATAGGCCCCCTGTAGGTCTTTGCTCCAATGTTTCATGTTAATATTTCAGCATATGCTATGCCGAGCGATAGTAGGTCACTAGCAAGTAAGAAAAAAAAAAGAGAGCGTTACATTGCTACATGAAGTGGTTTCAAATTTACAAGGTGCTCATTAGGTTTACTGGATGATACCATATATACCCCCCACACCAACACCCCATTCATGCATTCCCATCAGTTTATGAACTCTCGCAGGATTCTGCTTGCCTGTGGCATAGATGCAGTCTCCTCATACTTTGGTTGAGTCAGTTTATGTGTGTGGGTGTTTGATGGTGGCCTATAGGTATGTGTTTATATATTGATTCACCTGTTTCTACCTCTGTGATGTTTTGCTCCCTCCCAGACAGGCCGGCTCAGTTTGCTATTAATACTCCTAGTTCCCGTTCAGAGGCACTCCCTGATGGGGCAGGGGCTATATGCTTGGCTGACGCTAGCTTGCTAACAGACTATGTGTTTGTGTGCGAGGGAGCGAGGAAGACTGTCAGCAAATGTTTGTGTATGCTCTTATTTTGTGCCCGCGTTGAGTACGCATGCGCGGGAATATGTGCATGTTTTGGTGAGCATCTGAAAGAGTGTATGCGTAGAGCACATGTGGGTGTGTATGTTTGTAAATGCTTGTGTTTTTAAAGTGGATACGTGTTTGTCTATTTGGTACGTTTTAGTACAAATACATGTGTTTTGATGTGTGTTTACTCCTCTAGTTTCTCGGATGGGGCGTATCTTTTGGTGTGATTCTGTGTTTTGCAACTGTGCGTGGAGCTGCTGTTTGTGAGTGTGTTTGTGTGTGTGTGTGTGGGTGCTGATTTCCCCAGCCAAGTACAGCTGGAGGGGGCTTTTTTCCTCCTGCGATATGAGAGCCGTCTAATTTTCTGCTCTCAAATTCCCCCGCTCGGCTCAATTTGAGTGGTGGGCTCGGCTCGTTGAGAAATGTAAATTGGAAGCAATGGCCCTGGATGCTGAGCTGCTATTATCTGACATGAACAGATAGCTTCATTAGACTCTAATAGGAATGTGTCTACTGCCACTCAACTGGCTGAGTGGCTTAGCATGGCTACAGCTCAGGTGAGCCTCAATTCAGGAGCTTTCTGAGCCTGGAATTTGATAATAAATCTCGTTGTGTGTGTCTTCCTTTCTCTGCCTTTCCCTTTCAGGCTCTTTTTTTTGCCACACTGGCTGATAGTTATCAGACTTGCCTGAAGAAAATGATGATTTCAATCTCAACCTTTATTCCAGAGTGAAACAACAATTAGTTCTTGGAGCGGCGAAATCAGTTCTCTCTGCAAATTTAGTCCGAGCTGCTTGTGAGGGGTAAATTTTGCTTGACTAAAATGGTTTTCACAGTGCCACAGCCGTCCGCCATGACCCACAAATTCTCTCTTTGGCCGTCTTTGGAGATGTGTACGCTCTTGCTTACTGAAGCTTTGAATGGGAGAGTACAGGGAGATTGTATTGCTCATATTTTCACAGTGAATAGAGTTACAGCTGCAGGGCCTGACTGCACTGCTGCTTCACTTTGTTGTGTGTGTGCGCGTTCGCTTGGGTAAGCGCACGCATGTGTAAGTGTACTCTTGTTTGTGTGTGTTGAGCTGCGGACTGATTTGCTCTCTGGATGAGGAAGAGGCTGAGTCAGTTTCAGGCTCAAACTTAAAAGAAGAGACCTTTAGAGCAGTGGAATTTTATTGTTCTACCATCTGGTTACAATAGCTGATAATTTCCCCTCTGCTTTTTTCATGCAGGTCACTTAGTGTGTATATTAGCAAACACAGCAAGATGTAAAGTCATGTACGCATTTTTGATGATTTGCTAAGTCAGAATGTGGCACGCTAAATTTAAATTAAATACAGTATTTTCAAAGATTTGAATGCAAAGAACCAGTGTGGAGGAAGCAATTTTAGAAAATAAAGTCAGTTTGAACATCCTCCTTAAAATGTGAAAAAATAAGAGTATCATTAACTATGGGTGTAACACCATTAGTCACACTACAGCCCAATAGGTTTCTCTGTTTGTTCCTTTTTCACACTAAAATAAGGCATCATATTAGTTTTCTCTCATCACTGTTTGGGAAACCAAATAAAAAGAAATAAACTCAAAATATAATTAACTGCAATTAATATCACCAACTTATTTTTATTAGTGTTATTTTGGCTACACAAACAGTCTCACCCTGTTATTTAATTTGAAGTGGAATTACTCACAAGCTGTATTTATCTGTTGTCTCTTGATAGACTGTAAACAGAATCGGGTGCCAAAAACCGCATTGACAGTTCGCCTACTGATGTGGGGAATCCAAAGAGCATAAGGCTGCCTTCACATTCCCCACTCTATATGTCATGGTACATACTGACAGTTGTATTCGATGACAATAATTCACACCGCGGCCATGTGTATATGCTAAGAATAGAAAATGTTGTAGCTCATTTCTCACGTGCTCGGGGAAGATGTTATATTTTAGAGTTTGTTTAGCCAGCGTGTTAAGGATTGCTGAGCTGAATTTGTTTACGTGTGCACAAAAGTCACTTGCGTGCGTCTATTTTGGTCTGAGGAACTGGGAAATGGAAGTGGAATTACCAATAAGTCATACCGCCAGAATTGCTCTGTGCTCCACCTTAAAAGAGATAGTTTAGATCAGTGGTTCCCAACGGACCCAGACAGGGGGTCCAGATTTCTCCGTAGTCATTAGTTCAGGGTCCACACGGTTTAATACATTCAGCGTCATACTTGCATTTGGCCATGTTGTTAAGCAAGTTTGCTGTCTCTGTTAATTGCTGTTAGTTAGTTGCTCACTCTACAGCAGGAAATGGCACTTCAAAATAAAAGCTCTTTGCTGGAAATGTACTTAAAAATAAAGTTTGTTCTTTACAAATTTAACCCGTTCGCAAGTCGCTTGTGGTCCATTCAGAATGGACCAAGACCCACTTTTGGACCACAACCCACCAGTTGAGAACCACTGGTTTAGACCTTGTGAAGAAGGGTTGTATGAGATACTTATCCATAGTCAGTGTGTTACATACAGTGATCTTGGTTGCCAATGTATTGCTGTGGACAGGGGCAGAAGCAAAACAGAAAAAAAAATCAAGTGTATGATGGACTAAGAATATTTTCATTGCTTTACCTTGCCGTCAGATAGTGTCTTCTGATGGGGTGCTGGAGCCATTATATCCCTCTCTTCAAAGCCAGACTCCACTGAGAAAAATAATAATTTTACATCGCTAAACAGAGGAGTTGTTGGGCTACTCGATTTTTTATTTTGTTTTTGTTGTTGTGTGACTTTGGTGTTTAGATCTGATTTACCAAGTCACACAGTAACACAAACTACTGTAACTGACTGTGGCAGCAATAAATCAGCAGCTCCTGCGACCAGCGAGAAAAAATGACTGCTTTTGTCAATGGAGTCTGGTGATTTTAACAAGAGCAGAGATGGGGAACTGAAGCCGTAAATGGCTTCCTGTTGAAGCCTGTCTGACGACAAGGAAAAACTTTGGAAATATTATAAATATAGCGTGCACTTAAGCTCTTATTCATTTTTTTAGGTGGGCCTTTTTTTTAGGTGGATGAAATACTTTTGCTTCGGCCCCTCGTCCACATCAGTACAGTGCTAAGCTCATGTGGTGGTACTCCTGTCTGCTTTTCCAAACTGGGTTCGTGCCGACTGATATCTATTGAACAATCTGAACTATCCCTTTAAGTACTGACATTGCTGCTACTTTGCTACCATAACGTATACCATATGAAACCCGTATGACAACCCAAAATCTAAACTTGCACCATCACGCTAATGGAGCTCCTTGTCTGATTTGTCCTTCGCCATATTCCATCCATTAGACACGGATTTCTCCCTCTGCTTCTTGGTTTCTGTTTGATATGAATGACTATGTTGGCGGGACACATGCATAAAATTGTATTTCCATTCATTATAAATGGATTTATATTTTGTTTTCAGTGTGGCCAATCGCACTTCTGACCACCTTTGAAACCGGCAATTGGATCTGAATTCAGATTTGATGCAGTTTTGCTTCACCTGGTGACAGTCCAATCACCACGGCGGTGTGCGTGGCTAAGTAGAACCGAGGGATACACGGGTCAAAAGCATGAGACTTGGAAAATAAATGCGTCTTTTGAAACACTGGCTTTACTTTAATACAATATATCTTCAGGGTATCTTTGTTGTGGCCAGTTTGCCCGGCCAAGTTCTGCTTTGATGCTTTACACAGCAAGACAAGAAAGCCAGCTCTCACTGTTGGTTAGCACAGGATATGTGTGTGTGTGTGTGTGTGTGTGTGTGTGTGTGTGTGTGTGTGTGTGTGTGTGTGCGTGTGTGTGTGTGTGTGTGTGTCAGCTGAGTAAATAAAGTCATGATCAGTGCTTGGGGTTGGTGATCCCTCCTGCTGGATTAGATAAAGGCTAATTGGGGCTAACAAGGACTAGACACTCATATGTTCTCTTTGTTTTCCCTCTCTCTTTCCTCACCAGTCAACCTGTTAGACTCTAAAGCAAGCCAAGGGGAGCTAGGATGGATTTCCTACCCATCGCATGGGGTGAGTATCCTCTATCTCTACATTTACCCACATCATGTCTGAATAAGCTTTCATTTTGGGGGGGAACACATTCACCAACATGAACTGGATGTTGGATTCAACCCCACACCACATGAAATCAGGATTTTTAAAAACTCCTGTGGTTCTCACTATGTCATGTTGACCCAATGAGTCAAGTGCAGATTAACCCACTTTTCTTTAGACGTTTTTCTGTCTATTCTCCGTCTCGCAGGTTAGAGGTTAAGCGTTCAGAGCTTGCCATATGGTCAAGATGCTTAAGGGAAAATAATGCACTGTGTGGGATGTTTGTGTATTTGAGTGTGCGTGTGTTTAAAGAAAGATTAGGGCATTAAAGGATTTTAGGTTGTAGACACTAAAGCATCCGCACAAGAATGTTGATAAGCTTACCCCTTTTTAGTAAATATCACATCGACAACACAGATAACAACTTACTGCTGTTGCATGTAAACATTGTAATTCCATTGTTGTTAATCCATTTCTTTTTAATTGAAAATACACATCACCTCATTCTGTCTGTCATACATGCTTTAATATCGTATTTTAACACACATTTTAAGGCTTGTGAGTGATATGTATTAAAGGTCTGGCGTGTAGGATTTACTGGCATCAAGCAGTGAGGCTGCAGAACTTAAACTCCCCAGTCTGCCGAGTGTGTGGGAGAACTACGGTGGCCAATCTAAAAAAGCAAATGGCCCTATAGAACCATTGTTTGGTTTGATCATTCTGGGCTACTGTAGACGGCAGAATCTGTGGAAGAGGACCTGCTGCATATGTAGATATAAACGGCTCATTCTAAGGTAATAAAAACCCAACAGTCCTTATTTTCAGCTGACTATAAATTAATAAAAATATTTATGAATATTATATTCCATGTCTGACAATAGATGCCCCAAAATCCTACACACTAGACCTTTAATTTACAAAAAAAAAAAAAAAAGTGAATAATGAAGTTTGCACTTCTGGGTTTGGCCTCTGTTTTGTTACCTTCATCCAAGACCCACTGTGAAATCGTGCTGCAACTAAAGCTTATTTTAATTGTCGATTAACTAGTCAATTATTTTCTTAATTAATCCCTTAGTCTGTTAGTCTTGGTTTGATAAATGTCAGAAAATGGTGTACAATGTCAGTCAGTGTTTCCCAAGGCCCAAGATGATGTCCTCGAATGTCTTGTTTTCTTGACAACCCAAAGACATTCAGTCTACTGCCACAGAGGAGAAAAGAAACCAGAAGATATTCATATTTAAGGAGCTGGAATCAGCTTCTTAAAAAAGTTAAAAAAAATAAATCTTGAAAAAAAAAGAAAAAAGTAAGAAATACCTAAAACAGATAAGTCGGCAATTACATGAACAGATGACAATTAATTGATAATCGTTGCGGATTAGTTGCAAAAATCTACATATAGCAGTTGTCTTTTTTAATTTGTCATTTTTATGTGCTTTTGTGCCAGAATTCTATAACTTTTTCTACCATAACAATCAATACTATTACATGTGAGAATAGTACAGCATTCTCAAAAAACAACCTGCAATGTTGCAGCAACATAGTTCCGTATTTTTGGAGTAAAAAAAAAAAACTCTGCAGCCTCATCTATCAGCCTCTCTCTGCTACCAAACTCCCTCCAGTGCGGCTCTCGCTCAGTGTTTATTTGTCTAGCTAGTTAGACTACTGTGCCTCGGGGCTAGCCCACTGACACACACACACGCACGCACACACACTCAAACACGTATACCACACTTCCTCGTTTTTCCTTTATTAAGTGTTAGAATTACTCCTTGGCAGTGGCTTAAGGTAATCCAGTCATTTGTTCCGTGGAGCTGCCAAACCTTGTTTCCCTCGGCCATATACTGCGCTGGCACCGTCAGAACGCTCAGACTTTCTGCATGAGGTTCAACCACAATGAAAAAATGACCCAAAGGAAAAACTGCAGCAGGCTGGTTAAAAATGCATTTAGTCCAAAGACAATTGCAGGCTACAGGACAATTTTCGTTACCATTTCAAGGGAGAGACTGATTTTGCGCTGATAGAAGTTATTCACGTGTAGGAAAATGCATACTGATATCGAAGGCTTGATCCAGCACTGGACATTGGAATGTGTGACAGAGACTACGCAGTGTGCGCAGCAGGCTCTGCTTTATTTCAAGTTATTTGCTTTGAACGAGTTCAGAAGAAAAGCGCGTGGTTGTACAGTTCATAAAAATGCTGCAGGAATGGAAGCCAATGTCATTCTTAAATGAGAATGACTCCAGAGAGGGAAAGAGAGGGGATAGGGGAGGATCAAAAGGAGGAAGACAGAGAGAGAGAGAGAGAGAGAGAGAGAGAGAGAGAGAGAGAGAGAGAGACGGCAAAGGGGAGGAAGAGAGAGAAGAAGAAAGAGGGAGAAGAGGAGAGAGGGAAGGAAAGGAAAGGATGAGAGAGAGACAGAGAGATATTGCTGATGATCAAGTCCTCAAGGTGAATCATCTGTAATTACTCACGTCATCCACTGACTGCGCTCCGATAAGCAGCCTGCCCTGGGAGACTGCTGCTCACAAATGATTTCTCATAATGTGGCAGTGGCACTGAGCCCTCACACACACACACACACACACACACCCACACACACATACACACAAACACTCATTCACATTGATGGAGAGGCCACGGCTATTGGCCTACCGAGACACACCGTGCTCCGGTCAGAACAAATTAAGAGCTTAGCCTCCCCAGGATGTTCACTCCGGAGCCACCGACTAGACTGACAACTGTGTGTGTATGTGTGTATGTGTGTGTGTGTGTGTGTGTGTGTGTGTGTGTGTGTAAAGTGCGTGTGATCCAGATATACTGTTATCTGTCTGGGAGGCAGGCTGATTGCTGAGCAGTGTCCAGGGGGCTTAGCCCTTCACAAGACTAAAGAGTGTTAAAGATTACATTCTTGCGTGCTTTGAAAGCATTCTTCAGCAACAAACCAACACCCCAGACACTGGCTGTGCATACAAAATAGAATTAATGGGCACATACAAAGTAAAGTCCATTTTTCATAGGAACCAACAGGGGGATACAACTGCATTGCTTTTTAGAAAAATAAATAAATATATAAAAATATATTTTTTTTGCCAGGACTGTGTATTGACTCGTTGCTTAGCTAGTTACTAAAACAATTTGGAATCTGATGTTTAACCTAAATGCTGAAATAATAGGAATAATCTGAATAGTGGAGGTTTAAACAATAATTGAAACCCACAATCAGCTTTTTTTTGCAAGATTTTCAACTGTAATCTTTTGTATAGTTGAAATTTATGTCAGAATAACAGGATTCCTTGCAGGAAAATCAGCATCCCATTAAAATAAAAAGCAGGGTTTGTACTGTATGTTCAGTGAAATATGCTGCCTGTAAGTGCTGTTCCAATGTTTAGGCTCATACTCTCCACAGTATTCTGTAAGTAACAATGGCATTCACCGAGCTTTTGCATCACGATGAAAAATGCTTGACATCTTTAGAAAATCTCCAGCAGTCACAGTGAGTGAACTCTGCATATACTGTCAAGAATAATGAGAAATATTTAACACACACAGACTCAGACTCATTCACATCTCACATTCCAATTATCAGGTCTGGAAGAGGAGGGTGAGGTTGGGGTGGGGGTGGGGATGCAAGGGGGGCAGGCACAGTAATAATAGCATGGCTTTTTATATTTTGGACTAGGTCCACCACTTCAGTCAGCCAGTTTTCATTTTTTTTTTTTTTTTTTTTTTTTTTGCTGTCAGAGTGCAGACTGCTGTTTCAACTTCTTTAGTCACCCAAAGGCTCTTAAAGCCCCCCAATGCACTGCTGCCACCCCATCTGCGAAATCAGCCTGACCAGCATGAAACGCTGCCCCTGCCCCCCAGAAAGAGAGAGAGAGTACAGAGAAAAGCCCATCTATAAACAAGGATTAGCAGCAAGGGCAAGGGACCAGAGAGGAGGAAGTATAAAGTGTGTTAGCAGTTACTTTCTTCCTGGTAAGATCAGCTGATGCAAACCCTTTGACTGACAGCATTATATCAAATGTCACTGAGTACAAGAACTGTGTATATTTCCTAAAACTATACAAAATGTTAGACCTCAGTGTTATTTAGATATTATGTTATGTGCTAAGCTCGTCTGTGTTGAAAAGAAAACCAGATTTTTAACGTGGTTGAACTGGGGGACTTGTAGAAGCAACATTGCCTTCACAGTCTTCATGGACACATAACTAAGTTAGCTAATGTTAGCAAAACGCAATGTATAGCTACATAGAGAGGAGTTAGCCGTATGTCAGAATAGCAATGTCAGCCAGCTTTGCATATTACTGTGGCAACATTTAAGAGGTTCGGAGAAGCATAGATAGGTTGTTTGCTGACATATTGTTAGGATGACCTCAATAACCATTAGCCAGAGAGGATCATGGCTAACGTTCCATTGTTTGTATTATCTTTGCAAAGCTACATGCCAACCCAAAGTAATTTTTGGTGTTATTTGTTTGAATGTACTATAAAAGTTCAGTTAAACCTAGTCCCAATTAAACGGCCAGTCCTTTATACCAGCCTGATGGGGCCACACATTTTGACAAATAAATGCCTGTTTCAATTAGACGCCTGTTCAGTTGCTAAGCAGTTTATACAGGAGTTCTTTGGAAGTATAAAACCTGTTTTTTGGCTACCCACCCGTGCTAACGTTAGTAAGCTGCTTAGATCGTGCATACAAATATAAATGTTTGAGCATTTGTCAATATGGAGATGCTACATATTGTTAGCTTGCTTAGACTATCCATAATTCAGTTGTTTTCAATTAATTCAGATTTACTGGCACGGTAAACATGAGAGAAAGACAAAGAAAAAAAAGTGAGAATATGTGTCCATTCCTTGGTTACCTTGTAAGTTATTCATATTCTTTTAATCTGTAAGGGTCGTGGGATCAAAAAAATCAAAAGGGTTTGTAATAAAAACAAGTCCAAGTTGTGAGTATTGTTTTAAATGGATTA